AAAGGATGACGACTTTCATTTGTTTTTTGCTCTGCCTAAATCTAGTTAGCCAAACGTCATATTTTTCTTGGAAACTTGCTTCACAGATTTATCAGACGTTGCTATACCCAGCTATTAACCTCACCGCAAAGATAAAGACAATAGGGGCGGCGGAGTTGCCATTTACACAAAAGACAATATTATAGTTAATAAAGTTAATTCTACTCAGCTCAACTCAACATCAATTAAGCAAATCAGGAAAAAACAAAAATCAGCAAAGAATCGTTTCTCCTCGGCTGCTTATATCGTCCTTACAACCTTAATGATTAGGTTGTTACTCAGTGTATCATATCGATCACGGCCGCTTGGCATTATACTACCTAATATAAACTGCTCAACAATGCTACTATATAGAGATTTCAACTTTAGCCATACATCTTATGAGTCTATTGAAGTTAATGGTGTTATTGAAGCAGTTGCTTACGTGAGAGATGAGCGTCAAAGCGATATCAGATTCTAAAATTGACTTGATAAATGTCACCTAACTTAGCTTGTCACATTCCCAACGTACGTTGTAATCGACACGTCGAATCTACTAGCACACTTGATCTGATCATAACAAATGAGCCAGACCATGTTATCTTCATCAAACAAGCTGATTTTTTTGGTAACACTCAAATAGACCAGGCACACTGCTTCATTGAAGATCAACTCGCTATTGTAGGCATTGACTTATTTGGAGCCGAGAAAGCGACGCATCGATATCCTCGCACATTGTAGCTGTTGATTGGGAAACAGAATTTACTGGTCTAATTACAAACGATAGCTGCCAGCTCCTAGTAAACGTGAATAATAATGCCATCAATCTATGCATCCCATCAACAACTACTTCCTTTACTATGAAACAGGAGCGATGGGTAAAACCAGATCTTATTAAAGCGGTCAAGGCAAAACGCGCCTCTTGAGCCAAATACATTAATACAGGTCGCGATACGCAGCAGTTACTCAAAGAATCACATCGCACTGCATGCAAAAACGTTACTAAATTGGTAAAATCTTCCAGGCACAACTACGAAGAGAAACTCACCAGAGAGTGCAAAAGCACCCTTAAACGCTTACATGCACACGTACAAAGCAAACAGAGCGCCAGGAACACTATTATATTGCTAGAACCAGCTAATTGCAACATCAATACCGATACCGGCGATATGCTCATTGTTGAATAACTATTTTCATTCGGATTTTTTTATGGAGCCCGAAGTTCCAATACTAGCTTTTGAAATTCGTATTGAAATAATTTGTGCTGTCGACTCAGCAAGTTTTTTTATCGATGTAATACAAATGTGCCCAAGGTACCTTGATGAAAGAAACTCAATCGGTTACGACGGTTTACACCCATGGGTCCTTAGTAAATGGACAGCTACCTTTGCCAAACCTCTTTTGTTTATCTTTAAGTACTCGTTTGCGACTGGTGTAGTCCCCAACTTGTGGAGAAAATTGAATGTAACGCTATTTTTCAAAAAGGGGAGTAAATTAAATGCATCAAACTACATATCTATCTCGCTGACATCCATTTCATGCAAAATGATAGAAAGTATTTTTCAAACAAGTATAATAGAACACTGTGTTGCTAATGGCTTAGTTACTCTAAAGCAAAATGACTTTGTTCATTGCAAGGATTGCGTCTCAAACCTGCTAGAAACTCGGGACATTATGACGGTAGCGTTATATACACAGATTTTACGAAGGCATTTGACAAAGTGCCGATTTAACGCCCTCTTTATAAACTAAGGGCATACGGTATTTAAGGCACGCTCTTAGACTGGATCTCAGCCTAATTACGCGACCAAAGTTTATGAGTGGTCATCAACGGCATCACATCTTAATGGCAAGCGGTCACTAGTAGTGTGCCTCAAGGCCCGGTCTTACGCCAATTGCTCTTTGTAATCTTCATTAATGACCTGCCGGACAGCATAAGTCGACATATAAAACTGTATGCTGACGACAGTAAAATTATTGGCATAATTAAAAACGAGTTGGAGTTGAGAGCATCACATTACAAGCTGACATTGACAGAGCAGTGGAGTGTATCATATTTGGTTCATGCATTTCAACATTTAAGTTACTCAATTACTCAATGGCCAACGCTGACCATTTTAGTCATTTAACGCCAGACCACAAATAGAGTCAACAGTTGCGAATAGAAGATTAGAGTAACTCAGAAAATCATTACGGAGTCGCAGTTTTAATTTATGGCGCACATTGTATCTTGTTTGCATTCACCCTACATCAGTTTTTTCGTCCCGCAAAAACTTTCAAACAGTAAAGCCAAGTATATTTTGAGAGAGCATAATCAAAAACTAGAACGCCACCTTGTTCGAAATTGTGAAGAACGACATAACTTTCTTTTAAATAGAGCGGTTGTCCCATGGAATGCGCTTTTCTAAGCAGCAGTGAATGTTCCATCAATCATTGCTTTCAAAGACATGATAACAAAGTAACTTTTAGAGACACAATTGTCTGTCTGTAGCTTCTGTGTATTTTTTTTTTTTTTTTTTCATCAGCATAGAGGGGCCTCGTGTAGCACCTCTTTGTCAAACTATAAACAGATTTATTGTATTTGTTGTTTTTTTTATCACTAAATGAAATAAAGTTATAAAAATAAAATAACTTATAAAATAACTGCTTGAAATGAAAAATTACGATGTAAACTGTGGATAGTAATAATATTAAGTAACAAGACTAAAAAAAACTATTTTTTTTTTTTTTTGCTAAATATTTATTTATACGTTTTGATATTGTAGCAATATTTAAACGGCGAAATATATATATATATATATATATATATATATATATATATATATATATATATATATATATATATATATATATATATATATATATATATATATATATATATATATATATATATATATATATATAATACATTGCATATATGTTGTGAGCATATCCTGAAAATTGAAAACAAATCCTCTACCCAATATCAATATTTTTATTAACTGTCAATCCAAAATGTTCTAAGATTCCAAGGATTCCATTTCTACTATTGTTAAAATGTATTACAGCTGAATTTGTACCCAACTTTTTCTCTTCCAAATTTTTGGTTTTTACCATACATACATTTTTTCAATAGCTCAACTACCATTAAAGCTTTAAAAGTTGGAAGAACAAAATTTTTTTTATCCACAGAAAAATTAAGTGAATTTAGTATTCTACTTTTTGAGCATTTTTACGGCAACTGAGTAAAATTTCAAAAAATGGATAGCCTAAAAGTTATTAAAACTGACTGAAAAGGTAATGTAGGTAATTTTTTTGGGAATGAGAGTTAGTGGTATTCGGGATTTTAATAAAAAAAGTATTTTTTATAAAAAAAAAAAAAAAAAAAAATTTCATAAAAATTATTTTTTGTATGACTACTACTTTAAAATAACTTTGTTCTAAATTCTATATTTTCGAGTAACTTAATAAACTTAGGAATTTATACACATTAAACAAACAAAACAAACAAAACAAAAAAAACTAAGGTTTCGTCCATAAATTAGGCAACGCTAAACTTAGAAGCTAAATGGAAGTAGGAAATCATTTTTAAATTTTAGTTTAGTTAAAGTCTCTGCGAGGAAAAACTTTTTTGTTATGTTTATTAGTTAAATATTTAACTAAATTTAAATTTAGGTTAATTTATGGACAAACCCTAATTATTATTAATATCGTTCTTTTTGTTTTTAATATTGGTGCTAAAAACCAATATTTTTTTTTACGTAAAGTTCTTGACAGTTGAAAGACAATAACTAATAAAGTTGAAAGTTGAAAGAGGATAGAGTAATATGCAATTGTTATATGATTTTATTTTTATATATTATTGAAATAAGCCAAGTTCCTTGGCGTACTCGTAAACGATATTTTAGATATTCGAGCGTGTCACAAAAATATAAGTTTATAAATTCTATGCAACTCATTCTAATCGACGTTTGGGAGTACTTCACTATAAAAATCCATAAAATCTAAAATAATTAACATGAAATAACAAATGTAGTGAAAATTCCTAAATAAACTCCAAATCTTTGAGAACTTGTTGTGGGTAGATAAAAGGTAGTAGTGTGTTAGTATTTGATATTTTAAGTAGATTTATATTTTGTTTTCAAAGGTAAAATTTAATAAAAAACAACATATTATGCAAATATTTATTATTTATTTGCTTAAAAAAGTTCGCACTCTTTCAGAATTGTGAAACTAGCGTTTAAAGTTTCTTAAATCGCCGTTGTCAAGGAAAATTTATGATCTTTAATTCTAATTCCAAACTGTTCCGAGAATTCAGCATGTTTTAGCGGCATATTTTGTCAAATTTTTTTTCTCATATATACTATGTTATCAATACATATACTAAGTAAAGTATATAAATTACCTAAGAACCTTGACTAAACTTGAAATACTAGTCACTTATTGCTAAATAATTTAGACTAGTACTAAGTAGCCGGGATATGTAATAGAGTACGTTAGTAGTGTACATAGTGGTAGTTCCTAGTACTTTAACAATATCGTTATTTATTTTTGATAATAAGTTTATGTATAAAGACTAACTTTTACATTATTCATTTATAAATTTATAAAAGTTAGTAAAAACACTAATCTTATTTTTTCTTCGCTAAAAAGTAGTAGAAAAACGTTATATGTTTTTCTAATATATTTACTTATAAAAGTCTGTATATATATATATATATATATATATATATATATATATATATATATATATATATATATATATATATATATATATATATATATATATATATATATATATATATATATATATATATATATATATATATATATAAATATATATATATATATATATATATATATATATATATATATATATATATATATATATATATATATATATATATATATATATATATATATTATATATATATATATATATTAAAAGTTGGGTCAAATAAAATCCTAAAAAGCTTTTTTTTATTTACTGTAAACAAATTTAGAAAATTCTGACTATAGTTTGTTAAGCAAACAGATGATCTTTTTCTTTTCTTTGGTTTTTCTTCCTTCTTCCTTTTCTCTCTTTCCTCAAGAATCAGAGACAAGAGAGGTTAAGTTACTCACTGGATTATGGGATTTTCGTATGGATAATTCTTCAGCAAGAAATGCTGGTTTTCACAATGAATGGTATCGAAAGTCATTAAAAGAGGTAAGTTAACTTGTATTGTTTTGCTATTAATATTACTGTTTACTATTAGTGATATTCTATCTGTAATAGTATTACAGATAGATAGGTGCATAAATGCAAATTTGTATTAGTGAGTTTCAGAGTTTCAAATATTAGAAAAATAATGATTATGATGAAAAAAAATTTATATTGTGTGTTGTTGCCTCCATCTTGGGATCCCATTTCCCTTCACAAAACCTTTTTTTTTCTTTTTTCAGTCCTATATATTTACTGACTAAATTTGCAAAACAAAAGAGGTGCAAAAAATCTTTTACTTATATTTTTTACCTTTTTTAAACACATTTAGACTGGTAAAGTTATTCAAATGCCTGTTCCTGCAAGTTTTAACGATTTATCTGAAGAAGCAACTACTCGTGATTTTGTTGGTTGGGTGTGGTATGAAAGAAATGTATTTGTTCCTAGTCGATGGGATGATGAAAAAAATTTAAGAGTAGTCCTTAGATTTGAAAGTTGTCATTACTTATGCGTTGTGGTAAGTTGAATTTTTTGTTTATCGTTTAATATTTTTTTACTGTTTTTACTTTTATAAATTCTTTTATAATGTAACATTTTATCTTTTTTTAATTTTATTACTAATAATATTGAATAATTCAGATTAATTATTTTTGTCTGATGCTGATATTGTATATTTATAGAAAAATAGAACCTTAAAAGATTTAGGTTGTTTTAATATTGTATTATTTTATTTTACTACTTTTGTTTTCTCTCATTATTGATTGAAAATATGTTTAAATTTAAATCTTTTATTGAGCAGTATTCAATAGTAGCAGCTTGTTTTAATAATTATATTATTGATAATTGGTAATTAATAGCACTTTGGGTCAAGCTCATTGTGTAATTTGTGAAATTTGGGTCAAGGTTATTTTGTTTATTATATAACCACTATAACATTTTAAAGTTACGTTATGTCTCAATCGATTACAATTGGTAACAAGGTTACATTCTCTAATCTTAAATTAAATATCATGTCAATAAACTTGATTATGCAGTAAAAGTTTGTTTATTATTGCCGCATTGCTAAATATCATTTTTTTTTTTTTTTTTTTTTTGTAAAATAGCTACAGTTCTATTGGTTACTTTGTCACAGAAAAAAATTCTTAATTCACAATGTTACATCTCACTTTTTTTTTTTTTAACTTTTTAAAGTGTAACCATTTGAGATGTAACATAATCTATCTAAGTCTAGATTTGAAACATAACTAAAATACGTCTCAAACATTTTTTTTTACACTTTGAAAATGTTTTTACACTTTGATTTTTTTTTACACTTTGAAAAGTAAAAATAAAAAAGACTTGATTTAACTTTAAAAAAATTTATAATTGTGATGTATTTTAATTACATTTCAATTCTTAAATATTTTACATTACATTATGTCTTGATTTATTACAAGGTAATAAAACTAATAATTAGATTGTGTACATTAGATTGCTAAAGTACCATAAAATACTTTAACTTTTTTATGTTTTTCTTGGTACTTTTTCATGTTTTTCATTACATTAGTATTTAAAAAATTTTTGTATTAACTATTAATAATTATTGTTAATTTTTATTGCAGAATAGATATAATTGATAAAAAATATAAAATAGATTCGTCTAAACTAGATTTTTTTTAATGTGTAACTAATGTGGCGCCAAATAAAAAAAAGTCTCAATTGCGTCTCGATTGTTTTTATTTAAACTTATAAAAGTGTAAAATGAGACATACGTTAATGTTAAAAAAAACTATATTTGAATTGTATTTTAACTATATATTTTATTACATTACATGTTTGTTATTTGGTCAATAATACAAGTGTAATACTTTATGAATTTATATAAATCCACTAGCAAAAATGTATACAAAATGTCAACCTTTCTTATGTTTTAATAATATTAATCAAATACTAATTAGTTGCAATTGATTAAATGTATAATTTTCACATATATATATATATATATATATATATATATATATATATATATATATATATATATATATATATATATATATATATATATATATATATATATATATATATATATATATATATATATATAACTTAACTATTTTACAAAGCTGCATAGTAGATAACTTACTGAACTGTTAAGAGAATTTTGAATTAAATGTATGGTTAATTTTATGAGATTTTTTATAAAAACTATTAACATTTTGTCCAGTGATAACTTTGTTCAAGTTCAAAGTTATCAATAGCGTGAAATTTATGTTCACTTTTTCCGATTAAACTTGATTTTATAAAGAAAACATTTCTCAAGAATAAAGTCTTATTAACTTTAGAAAATGTTGGACCTTTACACAGGGTTTGGTTAAAAAATTATAGAAATTATTAGTAGAAAATATTTATAATAAAATTTTTTGTCTTAGTATTAAGTGTGAAATACTTCGCTGTTGCTTTGCAGCACAATTTTTAAGCTTTATCAATATTCACAATTACATTTAAAACCTGAGTTTTGAATGATTTTTTCATTGAGTTAAATTACTTTGCTACAATTATTTTTTTTTTTTTTTGAAAAGGAAAATTAATAAAAACATTAAAAGTAATGAGTTATAAATAATTATTACTGAATTTTTAAAAACAAGAAAACTCTCAGTAATCTTTGCACTAAATTACTTTCCATTCTTAAATTTGATAACATAAAACAATAATTAAAAATTAGTGAAGAAATAAAATGAAGGCAATGAACTTGTAAAATCATCTACCACTATACAAAAAAGTGTCAATTTATATAGCAAAACTGTTTGACAGTTGTTGATAATTGTCAGCTAACAGTTTCTTATCAAAGGTTTTAGAATTACTTAAGATTAATTTAATTCTTTAAGAAATTATTTATACATTAATATGAGTTTTTCTTTTGAATCAAAGTTTTAGAATTTATTCATCGCTAGATCAATAAATTTGTTTTGTGTCTAAATGATGGTAGAAATTGCTAAAAGCTAAAATTGTTGTCTTTATTTATCTTAAGACTTTGTCATAGTGTGAGTAATTTTTAATGTGATTAATTGTAGATTCTACATTGTATAAATTCAGGCAAAAATTATTATCATCTTTCATTTTTACTCAGAATTCCAAAACGCTGATATCAAATGGTTTTGAAGATGTTGTTAATTTAAAATCAGTTATTTTAGGCAGCTTATTTTGTTTAGCAGCCATTTTGATTTTATTAAAGATTTTGTTTTACAAGTTACTGTTCAGATATACATTAGCACCAGTATAGTTTTTAAGATAAGAAATCAGAAAATGGGGCTTAAAAACCCAACAACAATAATTTTTACTAGACCACTATATTAAAATGTTAGGTAAGTAAGGATGCCTGAATTTTACAAGGGTGTCGTTTTTTTCATCAACTTCTGATAACAAACCAACACAGTTAAGAATAATATATTTACAGATATAAAATTTTCCTGCAATGATTTTTTGAAGATATTTATGATTGAGCCAGTAAGTTTGAATGTTAGATTAAGTTTGTTCTGCTCAGAGACTCAATTAACATTTATGTTTGTTGCATCATGCAAAAAAAAAATTGGTGTAAACTTCTTATACCAGATATAGTCTTTGCATTATTTAATCAGAGAGTCAAAGATTTACGGACTAAAAAAAAATTATTCACCTTTAAAAAAAAAGAAGTGGATGCCAAATATGTTATCTTTGGGAAAATTGAACATTTTTTTAGCATTCTAAATTTCTAAGTCAATTGGAGGTTGAAGACTAGTGTTTGAATTAAGTCTTTTAACTGTTCCATGGTGCCAAACATATTTAGGCGCTGGCCAAATTTTAAAAGGACCTTCTTTTTTTTTGGCAAATATTGCTGCCGTCTAAATTTATTTCCTAAAGTAGCACCTGTCAATTCACATTGCATCCCAAAATTTTCAGCATGCTGACATAAATTTAAAAAATGTTTGTAATTTTCTACCAACTTAGAACAACCATCAGGAAAATAGTGGATTTTTGTGCTAATTGGAATCATTTCTTGTACAAAATGACAGTTTTTTTACTATGCAATAAATATATCCAACATCATGTGTTAAGTCATCAGATATAAAACATAAGGATGCTGTTTGACATTAAGTAGCATCCTAACCGTGTATGTTATAAATAAAAATGACATCAGAAGCTTGCATTAATTATTTTTCATTAGAAAAATTTTAGCATGTTGTGGAACCCCATGAAATATTACTGGTGATACATCAAATTTATCAGAACTGGTGTTTATAAGTTCTTTTTCTTGGGCAACTTCTATATCTCCATCAAAAAAATGTTTACTCCAAAAAATCTACTTCACCATTGTGGACCTGTAAGGCAGACAAATCATCTATTTCTTTATCACTTTTTTTCGACATGAAGGACGCATTTTTAAACCAGGTGTTGTTTCGATACCAATTGAACACATATCTTCACCAGTTAAATGTCGATTTTTCGCAAACCACCTATAAATGAAAAAAATTTGCCAAAATTAGGAAATAATAACATAGATAATTTAATAATTTTAGAAATAAAAAAAAAATTTAAAACTAATAAACTAATTAACAAATAAACTTTTATATTAGTTTTATGCCTTTTATATGGGTTGATGCAGTTTTTTTGGGAGTTAGCACACTGGTTAAGTAAAAGTTGCTAATGATGTAAACAGATTTTAACATTAACATTCAATATTGGTAGCTCAAGATCAAAAATATTGTTAGCCCAGATCTCCATAATAATAAATTTCTCTAAATAGTTTTATATCTTTCTATCCAGTTGATTTAGTGTACACTATTTTATGATTGTTCATTTAATAAAATACCAACTGTACACAAAATCTTGTTTATTTTATATTTTCAACTTTTTATTTAATTATAAACATAAAATACACAGAATAATACATACATTTATTTAAAATGAAAAAAAACTTTTATCATTAGTATTTTTAAATATGATATTATATATTTATTTTTTTTAATTTTGATTATAACTTGTTTTTTTAATTTAATGATTACAGAGAAACTACAGAGAAAAAACAATATTATATATCATAGCATTTTAATATTGAGTGTTTCTTCTGTTTTAGTAAAAGACATAATATGCCATCAATGAAGCAAAAATTTATTTAAAAAAATATTTGAATTAAAGCTTCTTTGAATAATTGATTAAATGTGTTTTCTTTTGTATTATTTGTGATGACTAATCAGTCATCACAAATAATACAAAAGAAAATTTTAAATTATTTGATAACTAAAGTTGTCGAATAATTTTCAATGAAGTCATGAACACAGACCTATAATATTTATTTTTTCATATAATACTCCTATATTTTTACAACAAATTTCAAAAAACTTAACTCTCAACTTTGCACCAAAACACTCTTTAAAAAATCTATTTAATAAAAACAAAAACAAAGTCACAAAAAATTAATGCTGCCATGGTTACCAGGCCTCTGTTTTGTCTTTGTTAAAATTTCAAAAATAGTTTTAAGTTAAGTACAATCCCCATATTGAT